TTGATGTTGTTTTATGGTGTTTAATGTGTTGGTGCATGAATTGATATGTTCTCAATGTTATCGAATGGGTATCAGATTAATTGTTGAGGAATTATGAGCTTCCATAAAGGTTGATATGCATTAGTGAATTAATATCGATGAATGTTGTTGATAAATTAATATTATACATAAATGATGTTATGTGATGATGCATTGATGTTTTGAGTTATGCATGTATGTTACGTTGATGACCTTATTTTGGCGTATAGTTGTATGTGTCATGCATCATGATGTACGAACTTCGGTCGAGTAGTGTACTCTAGTCCAGTGGTGGGATCGGGAGTGAGTAGTTGATTCTTATGGCAGGACTAGTGAAATATTTTTGATTCAGTGGTGGAATCAATAACGATTTTGATGTGCTCTGGTCCAATGGTGGGATCGGGAGCGAGTAGGCAATATCAGTAGCATACCTCTGATTTCCAATAAGTCGGTACCCCATTTGCATGTAGAGTTGAGGTGGTGTCACATTACATATATACCTGCATCGTAAATGAGTTTATATTAATAATGTGATATGTAATATCTGTGAAGTGTACTTGATTTGATGACATATGAGTAATTGATGATGAATAGATAATTGTTGATGCGTGGGTGAGTGTTGAAACATGGTGTTGTTGTGATTTAATGATGTAAATGCTTGTGTTTTGCCCTTTTTATGTATTGCACCGCTACATTATTTGAGCATTTTTGTGCTCATCTGAAGTATAAATAATCAAGTAATAGAGTAGCCATTTGAGTTAAAGGATAGCGTCAATGCCTCTTTAGCTATTTATCTTTGATGCTTAGAGGAGTCACTCTGATATGTAGCACTGGGTATGGGATATTGACTTTTTGCTTGTTTTATGTGTTACTTACGTTAAAGTTTTGTTGTTCATTTGATGTTAATACTTGTATTCCAAACGTAATGATTTTTCGCTGCTGATTTTTACTGATCATGTTATGTTGATATTTTTATGCTATGATGAAACATGTGTGACACTATGATCATGGCGTTTTATTTTAAATTATTTGGTTAATTGTCGAGTCTGGGATTAGGGTGTTACAATAAGCACTTGTACAATGATAACCTATAAGCAACATGAATATGTTTATGTCATCCAATTTCCTTCTAGTAGCATCTAGTATATGCTTGTAACATACAAAACCAAACACCTTGAAATAGATAACACCTTGCTTTCTTCCAGTCCATTTCTCTATAGGAACTACTTCCTTTAACTTCTTTGTCGGACATATGTTGATCACATATATTGACGTGACAATTGCTTAGGTAGATTCTTCTCCTTTAGCATGCTCCTTGTCATGTCAAGCAAAATTCTGTTTCTCCTTTCAGCAAAACAATTATGACATGGAGTGTATGAAGCAATTGCCTCATGCTCAATACCATGTTCCTCACAAAACTTCTTGAACTCTGTTGAATTAAACTCACCTCCACCATCGGTTCTGGGGATCTTCAACCTTTGTTCACTTTGATTTTCAGCTTTCACTTTGAACTTCTTAAACTCAGCAAATACCTCATGTTTGAAATTTATGAGTGTTACCCATGTAATTCTTGTAAACTCATCCAAAAATGACTCAAAGTACTTGTTCCCTTCAAGTGAAGGCACCTCAAATGGCCTACATACATCAGAATACACCACACTCAAAGCATGAGTTGCTCTTGGAGGCAATTTTGATGAGAATGAAAATCTTGGTTGCTTTCCTCTCATGCATATATCACATGATTTCTCTGGTGCCACAATTTTAGGAATTCAATTTACCAGATTCTTTGAACTCAGATGCCCTAAGCTTTTGTAGTTCAAATTCCTCAATCTCTTGTGTCACTGCTCACTTTCCCCTTCAACACTTCTTGCACTAAGACATTGAGTGTCTATTGTTGCAATATTCACCTTGAATTTCATGTTTTTTCCCAATTCAGACTGCATAATCAACTTCTGATTACAATCATACAACTTCAAGAGATTATCCTTCATGGTTACTGAAAATCCTTTTTCAATCAGCTGATCTACATTCATCAGATTGCTATTTATGCCAGAAACATACCATACATCTTAATCAGTACAGTTTTCCATTGTTCGATTTCACTTTGACATTTCCTATTCCTTTAGCATCCAGATACTCATCATCGTCACATCTAATCTTGGTCTTTTTATCAGAGTTAAAATCAACAAGCCATTGCTTGTTTCCAGTTAGGTGATTTGAGAAGCTAGTGTCCATATACCACCAGTCTACCAAATTTTCACTTGCATTCTCAGATGCCATAAATAGCACAGGTTCATCATCAGAACCACCTCTAGCTATGTCAGCTTCTTCACCCTTGCTAACCTTATGTGACCAGTAATCAGTAACAAAATGGCCAAATTTGTAACAACTGTAGCACTAAATCTTTCTTTTATCAAACTTCTTCTTTCCTTTTTGAACATTATTATGTTTCTTTTCTTCAGAGTTGGAGAGTTCTGACTTC